GATATAATTTTTTATGTCAGATTACAAATAATTTTTGAATAATTACACGTTACTAAAATAGTAATGATGATCTCCACATATCAAAAATTTCGGGTTACAGTGTAGGCCACAATTAAATAATATTTAATACATTATAATGAGATAAAATAGTTCTTTTATTATTTTTTAAAAAAAAAATTATTGCTTTTAATTTCTATCTATGTACTCATTAATGTCAGTTTGTTTAGCATTATTAAAATTTATTAACATAATATTTCTCTTTACTTTATGAAGACCTCTAACTAATTGTGAATCTACACTCAAATCATTTTGTTGAATAAAATTTAGAACTTTATTAACACTTTCTAAAGAATCACTATTACTAACTTTTTCTTCAGTAATATTTTTCTTTGATTTCATTTGAACCTATTCCACTAATAATATTAACTATTTTTTCCATTGACATCTCTTCTTCAAAATCAACTTGTTGATCAATGGAAACATATTCATCTGCCTCAATTGAACCAGGTCCAGATAACTGTTCAATTACACTCGTTAATTCATTTAAATCTGATTCCAGATTATTGTCATTGAAATTATCTTCGAAAAATAAATCATTATTAGGAAGTGTTCCTGATCTTTTCCAAGATGATTTTATCATATTTTCATTAACATTATTCCAAGCATTTGAAATAAATTGAATTGCATCATGAATGTTCATTGGATCAGGATCTTGTGAATTCATGCATATCAAATTCTATTTTTGCACAATAATCTTTTATAGCAAGTAAACCTTATTACACTAAATCAGGAAGATCCAAATCCTCCCTATAGCTAATTGGGGATGCTGGAAAAGGACAGGGGACGGGTTCAAACCAAACTTGCCTGTCTCCCATCCTTTTCAGGTTTGGCCCATTAATACTAGAAAAGGATGGGTGATGGTACAGGATTCTGTAAAATAATGTCAAAAAGAACAGCAACAAACGTGAAACAGATGTGGCGTGGTGAAGGCATAGAAACCCGTCCCCTGTTCTTTTCCATTATTCATGGGTAAATCTTGAAAAGTACAGGTTACTGTGCCATTACCACCTGTCCCACTGTCCTTTTTATTATTCGCGGGCAAACCATAAAAATGACAGGTGAAAGGTGTTTGTCATAATATAATTTTTTGTAAACAGGCTGCAAAATTGTAATTTCCCGTCTCTATTTATTTCTTATCTAAAGTTGATTTTTATTTTTTATTATATATAGTAAAATTTTATAATTGAATGTCTTCACACCCTCGTTTGATACCCTTGCTGTGTAGCAACCACCACCACCACCACCAAATTTGAGATATAACTTCTTTATCATATGCATCTGCTTTAAGAAAAATTTTAAGGCAGGTTGTTAATAAAACCGAAAATAATCTGACCCTCAAAGTCAAATTTTGCCTTTATATTCATATGCGTAAAATTT